ATGCCTGTGTGTGAAAGTCTGTATAGATTCTTTAGCATTTTTCATTATGTCTATGTCTGTATGTGCATGTGAGTGCTGTCAACAAACAAACCTATGTGTTCATATCTATTTAAAGAAATGTAAGTATAAATAGGGATAAGGGAAGAGTAGATGAATAAAAAATATTTTATGTATTCACATTGGATTACATTTTTTAATATGACTGTGAGGTTTACAATACTCACAAGGCTATGTGCATAGGTGAATGCGTACATTTTTATGATGTCTAATTTGGTGTAAGTGCATATCTGATTATGGTATGCATGAGTAACCACATTTCATAATACTTGGATGCATGTATCTCACTATGTGTCTTATTTGAATTTTTGAGTGCGACTGTGTATTCAAATATGTCTTCAGTGACTGTGCATATATATACTAGTATCTGTTAATACCTGACTATGCATATATTCAAGTGAACATATCTGTAGATAGGCTTGTGTGGTCAAACACAAATAAGTGTATATCTAATAGGCCTGTGTGTATGCCTCTCTGAATACACAAATGTGTAAAGTACCATTTGGCACAGTTCTTATTTGCATTTGTTGTTTGTTTGTATTTATCTTTGGTTTAAAGCATATATTATAGAATGACGTATATGAATCTATGTGCATGCCACTCTCAGTTCACAAGTACATTTGTGTGTGTGTGTGTGTGTCTATACATCTATTTAAGATATCTTTGCTTATACGTATGTGATAAGTTGATCAAATCTTCTCATGCAGACCAACAAGTGCATGTTCAAGAATACATGAGTGTCCTTCTATATGTGCATGTGTTAAAATATGCCTTTATGTTCTATCCCAATGTATATATAAGTTACTCTTCTTTCATGAACGTGGCTTCTCAGAATGGGTGTATGGATGTAATGGTGAATATATACCTGACTGTGACATTGTGACTGTGTGCTTTTGTGAGTATTTGTGTTTCTACAGTTAATTGTATACATATAAGAATGTATTAATGTATGTACAAGTCTATAAGCATGTGAATATGCTGTGTGTGTACATGGCCAGTTATACATACAAGTCTATATGTTAGAATATTCGAATAGGTATACATCGTCTCATTTATAAGCATTTGTATATCTGGGTATAGATATATGTGAGCACACCTATACAGATATGTCTGTCGGTCTGTATGTATGTATGTATGTATGTATGTATGTATGTGTTCATGCATGCAAATATACTTTTGTGATTATGTTTGTGTGTATATGTGTAAATGTTTGGGAGCTCCCTCTTCTGTGCTCCTGTTTTTTGATCATCTCTTTAGGTGTGATACATATATTTTTACATATTTCTTCAGATACATAAAAGTATGCCTGTGTATGTACTTGTATTTGTGAGTGAATGCATGTCTTTCATGAGTAAATCATGTGAATATAGCCTATTTAAAAGAGTAAATAGATGTACTTGTGACTAAGTCCAAGTGTGGATAAAGGTATTTGTGCATATATCTGTCTGCTATAAGATTTGGCTTTGGTCTTGTTCAGACTGACCCCTACACAAACCTTCTACCCAAATACACCCATGGTTTCATCTCATCACACCATATGGATGCTCATATTCTGCACAGTATTCTCCACATGCTCACTAATGACCACTGGGGGTGGTGAGAAAACTTTGAAACATAAAAATCTCCCTTCCCATCCCACCACTGCCAAAGGCATAGGGCAGAATGGCATCATAATAGTGCCTAGGATTAGTAAGAGCTTTCTTTGGTTGGATAGTGTGTGTGTGTGTGTGTGTGTGTGTGCGCGCGCGCGCGCGCGTGCGTGTGTGTGTGTGTGAAGAGAGACAGATAATGTGAGAAAGTATGAGCTGCATCTGAACATTTCACAGAGAGTACCCAAATTAATATATATAACTGAAAGTATAGGGAAGCAGTAGGTATAGGGGACATGAGTGTATAGAGTATGTATATGTAAGAGATTACATGTGAGATAATTGTGTATATTAGGGAGGGAAGGCTTCTTTGAAACACAAAGACACACATCCCACCCAAATATTTTCAGCTGCCACACAAACAATCTGTGTGTACCTCTACACAAACCTACTATCCAAATACACCCATGCTTTCATCTCCTCCACACCATATGGATGTACCCAACCCACTTTCTGCACAGAACTTCCCACACAGATGTGCCTTAAACACTTTTCTTCATACACTCCATCCAGTTTACATCAGTGGACTCAGCATGAGAATATATGTATTGGGGTGACACATGTTTAGGAGATGTGGATATATCCTGATGGTATATGACAATAAGTGTATGGGTTCATTCAGGCTGTGTTCGAGACAATGTGTGGGTGCACTTAGAATAAATTTGAATGTAGATGTGTTTGAAAAGTGAGCAGGTCAAAGCATGAATATACTTGTGTGTGTGTGTGTGTGTGTGTGTGTGTGTGTGAGACAGAGAGAGAGAGAGAGAGAGAGAGAGAGAGAAACAGACAAACAG